TTCTTTTTTCTTTTTTCTTTTTTTTTTTGTGACTCGGGCGAAGAAAGCAGAACTTTCGTCCCAATTGATATTTCCTCTCCATACAATTTACATACAATACAAACATGATTAACATTAAAATTGACGAGGAAAAAACGAATAAAAAGAAAAACAAGATCATAGGAGGTTGATGGATCAAAATTTATCAAAATTCAAATTTAAAAGGTTTTAAGGTGGTAAGTAATGTAATTTCACATTTTAAATACTCAATTTAGCTGGAAAGATGATTAGTCGTCCTTATATCTTACTTTCAATCCCTACTTCGTTTACTTCATTGTTATTTTTAGTTGGTGAGTTTGGAAGCGAATTCTGTGATGAATTTATTTTCCGAAGTAACGTGTTCATTTATGGGAATTACGAAAGACGGACTTACGAGTCTTTTGAAAAAATTGTAAAAATGTTGACGATTGTACAGAGGTGTTTCTGTCTACTTTAACACATCAGGGAAAAAAAAAAAAAGGTTTCAATTATTGAAATTTTAGTTTAGTCGCTAATCGTATTATTTTATTTCAACTTGAATCTCCCTTGATTGTTTTGAATTAAATAATAGGAAGATAAAACTATGTGCGAGTGTGCGCATGTGCACAGTGAGCGGGTCCATAGGGTTAGAAGTATCCCACATGGAATATCAGCATTTCATTTCCTCATATAAATATCAAAGTAGTCTCTACTGAGTAAGAGCTATGTGCTTATTAATAGTGTGGTGTAACGTTCGTCGAGGATGACGTAAGACGACCGATAAACGTTTAATTATCGATCTGCTAACATCTTAGTAAGGGAGTGACACATTTGCATATTCAGACCCCTCACAATAACTCGTTTCTATGCTTCGCGTATCCACGAGTTAAAAAGGTATTGTGGTTCTATGTTTGTTCATTAATGCAATATCGTATCGCTGGTACCAATCAAATTTTTTTTTTTACCTTAACTTGGCTGTTTTCCATATATCTAGTAAAAGTAGACCCATCATTTGATGTGAGCATGTTGTAAGACTGTACCCACTGGTCTGTCATGTGGTCACCCTGTGTTGCTATACCACAAATGATGTAAGGTGATCCTAAGTTAATCTGTAGATATGGAGAAGGGTCATTTCTAGCAGCACACCATGATGACCCTGCTATGTAGTTTAGTCTTGCCTTGGATGGTGACGTCGTACTGTTGTAAGCTGATGATGACGTAATTTTACTGTCTGGTATTTTACCACTACCAATACCAACTGGTTGGGAGCTGCACGAAAAACCTGCAACAATGGCATTAGTACAAGGAAGCACGGCAGAAACAAATACATTGATGGTCTTCCTGTGGTAATGACGTAGGTTGACGAATACAGTCGAATAGCTTGGGCTCTAGTAATCATCAAAGATGGTGGCGTACATAAGATTGACGGGGAGTGAAACTTTTTCAAACCTTTCGACAATGCCATGTCAGGTTGCCAGGGCCAGTTAATGAGGTAAATCATTGCAAATGTATGCGTCGAGGTAGACCCGGTCAACGAGCATTTAACTACGCTGCCATCTTTGATTTACTTGAGTGAATATAAATTTGCACTTCTATTTTTGAAGTTCACTTCTTGGTACGAATTTTGGGACTTCACAGTAAAATTGATTAGCGATCTTTCAAGCTGATAACACTGTAGCTTCAAAAACTCCTCAAATCTGCGAATTCGAAAATACTCACAGCAGAACTGGACAAGTTATTCTGATAACTCTCTAAGTTCTGGATCCAATTTTCGAAAAGTATTTGGTTTAAATATGCAATTCCAGTAAATATTTAAATTTTTGAAAGCGGGATAATTTGAATGATTGATTAATGTATCTGGTACTTATGGTGTTTAATTGTTATTTATTTATTTATTTTTTTTTTCTATTTTCATTCTGTTGTTTGCCTTAGCTTTATGGTAAGCTTTTAATGAAGGCTTAGAATAAATGCCAGACGAATATCATTTATACATGTATTAAAATCTACCTTTATAATTGTAATTGCTTACTATCAATCACGTGACTTTTTGGAGTTGGCTGGGGGGCAAACAAGCGGTTGACTGGGGGGCAACTAGCGGATGCTAAGTCAAAACATATTAAAATAAGTCCTCAAGCTATTGTATTTGACTATTTTCACGACATTAAACCAGAAAACAAGCGATCAAAACAACCTCCAGGATTCTACAAACGATCAAAAAATAGCTATTACCGGAAGTGACGTCTATTAATAGCAACCTATTGGAATAATCTTTATCCAACAAAAGATAAAAAGGCTTGTTGTTGTGTTTTACGAAAGATAATACGAATTTTTACAAAAATGCTTTTCTACGGCCTATGTGAAGTCACGGAATTTCTTCCTTTCTCTCGATCCTCTTTTATAATTTCATTCAATTAAAAAAGCTTTGAAGTTCTGATTTTCATGTGATATAAAACACACTAAATCCAATACTAACTAAAGAAAAAGCCTTTTAATTGACTAACCCGGACAAAGCATCATAAAAAAAAAGTGCAAAAAATTAAGAAAACAAAGTGACGACATTTTGGTTTCCGGTATACAAAAATGTTTTAAATTAATTATCTTTCAAGTTGTTTTGAATGCAAAGTTATGTTATTGCTAGTTTTTCACGATAAACAGCTGGCCAAAAACATCGTGATGAGCATGCTACAACTTACGTTGGTAATTCTGTGATGTTGATTGGCAAAGACCCGATTACGTGATCATAGTATCACACACCGTCATTTATTTGTATCGACCGCCTTAGTTGTTTACTTATGAGCCCGCGCAACTTTTAAGAAACCCGCACGTGCGTCCTTACGACAGGAACTGGACCAATCAATTTAGTTATGTACCACAGAAAGACCAATAAGCAAATTTATGTATGCCGTGATAAAGGAGGATGTTTCACTAGCATGCTTTGCGCGCCGTACTCATTATGCATCTGTCTTTAGCGTTTGTTTGAAAAATTTCCTCTCGACGGCGATTTTCCTCGATTATTTCGCCAAACAAAAACAGCAGCCGTTTGCTTATTAAATATTTTCTGCATCCATACTGGTGAACAATAGAAAGTTTGGACATTTCTCTCGGACCTAGTTCGGCATTTTTGTAATTTTTGCCATAGGAAAAATCAAAATATGCCGTATCAATGAATGGATAGAAAAAGATAAAAGTTGTTTTAACAAGCGAAGTGTTTGTAGGCTTCGAATTATGTGGGAATAAGTCGAAATTAGACGAAGAAAATTTAAAAAAGGACACACCTACACAAAGTATAGCCTTCGTACTATGCTATATCCCTTAAGTCTCCTTAAGTCTCCACGTTTGAGTGAGATACGGTCATTACAATATCCACTAAAATTCGCCATGTGTTTCACTTAGTCTTGTCTTACGTCCTTGATTTGACGTGAACTGCTAGATTACCAAAAATTGTACTTTTGAGTATCTTATACAAATCTGATAATCTTGATTTTAAAATTCAAACGTATACTTCATATAATAACAACGGCAATGTAAAATGTTAATATTTTTTATTTTATCAATCGAAGGTAGTTTTATTCAAAGAGGAAAGAGTTAAGCTTACTTTTATTCACAGCACGTGTCACAAGCCCGACAAACAATTCAAGAATTTCCTTAATCTAACAAACTATAAACGAATAAATAGTCAAACCACTAGARACTAATTTTATTCAACTCAAGAAAGCCAAACCTATAGTATTCCACAGTGCAGATAGTGTAATTTTCTTAAGAACTCAAATTTACAAAAAGCTTAAAAGTTCAAATACAAAGGCAAGACATTCGAAGAAAATAATCGATCCAAGAAAGTAGATTGTATATTTTTCTCAAGGGTCGTTAAAAAACAACAAACTTTACGCATGGCTTTTGTATATTACCTCGAAAAACAGCTGCTAGATAAAGCTTTATTCACTAGCGATTTTCTTCCGGAAAATCGAGACTGTCTTTGTTCAAAACGATGCAAGTCTTCTTTCTTCAATGAAAATGCCTGGGAAGATGGCTGATAACTGTCACAAATTCAAAACACGTAATACCAGCAAATTCAGTCTAATTGATCCTTTTTGACAATACAGAAAGAGAAGATCTGAAGTGGAAAAGGGCTCACGATTTCCCTCTATGATCTCCATAGTCGAGTCCATAGTCGATGTTTTTGCATTGACATCAAAGCGAAAATGAGTAGATCACGTGACTTTTCAGTGTGGTAATATAGTTGGTGGAGGCGCGCAAAGCATGCTAGGTAAACATCCTCCTTTTGCCGTGATCTCTTGATTAGTACTGACTTACTTATCGAATAGAATGTAAAACATGTATGCGTGAAAAGCGTCTGAAGAAATTGCACAAATTTGCACAGATTAGTAAGCTCAGCCTTTTGTAAACCGTAGAAGAAGAAGGGGGGAAAAAAGACCGCACTAAAATAATCACAATTTTGTTAGTTTTTGTTAGTATAGAATATTACATGGCCACTTGGAGTTACGGATTTTTCCTCCTCATATGTTGAGAATATCTTACTTATTCTTACTAACTCGTAAGATATCACCTTGAACACTGCCACATAAATCCCTATATCTGCGCGGCCATCTAAGTAATATATACAATATAAACGGCCGATCTGTATGGAGATGAGTGATTGTAAAGCCCGTACAGATTGGACGCGAATATTGTATATTACGTTCCTAAAATCTAAGTTAGTTATATTGTGTTCTACTCAAATTTTCGAGATATGAGTGAACTAGCAGAGAAAATCCAAGTTAAAGTCTATGTATGGCAGGAACTCCTCAACGGTCATGAAAGGTATTGCGTTTTACTCGCTTGTGCATTATTAATTATTTTGATTATATCTTCTCCATTATGTACTTACGCTTTTTGATACCATAAACCTCGATACGCAAGGCCTTCCAATTATGATACTGTGTGGGTATAAACCTGATGAACCTTACCAGCACTGGGTAATCTAGAGCATTCTTGACAACAGTATTGCTGTCTGTATTACCAGGAAACAACTAAAAGAAAGATAGCAACGTATAAGACTTTCTTGACAACAGTATTACTATTACTTTTACTATAAACACCTATCCATCTAGTCTCACACCTCTTTTTACACTTCAAAGTAAGCTGTAAGAATAATAACCTTTTCTGACTTCAGAGATCCCTCAAGCCCAATTTTTCAATCTCTGGGAATACTAAAACTCAATTATATAATCTATTTGAATAATTGTATCTTTATGTATGATTTTCACGCAAACACTCTGCCATCAGTTTTTCATAACGTCTTCATACCCATAAGTAAAATAGATACCTACAGAAACACGATTAGCTTCAAAAGACTCTTTCTATATTTCCAAAATAAGAACTAATTATGCAGAATTTAATAACCGTTACGTCGGTGCCATTACGTTGAACAAGATCAAAGATGAATTAAAAAGAACTAAACGTCCAGGTCCCAAAAAACTAATAATAGATCAAATTTTAAAACCTTTTTAGTTACTCTGATGCACTTTCCTCTTCGCCTATGGTTTCTTTTTCCTTCTTTCTTTATTTTTTGTCCAATCCAATTACATTTGTTTTTGGATTTTCCTATTTCTATACTTATTCTTGTAACAATAGACCAGTTTCGARTTCCAAATTACCGCTGTGTTCCTTGATTATCAGTGTTTAAATATTCACGAATACCAACAGAAAAGTAAAGAATGCACAACTTCAACAATAGAAACATTTTGAAACTCGACGGACCTTGACTGGAACACGTGAATATTCTGCACAAGCTCGAGGCTAACCCTGTGCAAATGAGTCTGTAATCAAGAAACACAGCGGTAATTTGGAATTCGAAACGGGTCTATTGTCAAATAACATCAGTACCAAATAACCAATTTGCTACCTAACTTGATTAGCATTGCTATATAAGGTAGCAAGTGGTTCCTCAATTTTTTTATTATTCTCAATTCTCAAAACATGTACCAATTAATCCGAAAATCAGAGGGCACAAATAAAGTTCTATTCTATTCTATTCTATCTGTATTACCAATAAAAAACTAGAAGAAAAAAGTATCAACTACTATACATGTATCAGGAGTTCCGCGCTACTGCTTTAAGGGCATGCTCCAGAGCCGAGTTCAAAAAGTGGGACCGTGGGTTGTAAAAATTGCTATTTTTGATATATTTGATTTAAATATATATTTGAATATTTAATAAAATTGTACTTGACCAAGATCCCACTTTTTGACCCCTTGAGCATGCGGTTAAGGCAGTAGCGCGGAACTCCTGATGCATGTACAAATGCTTCATATCCATACCATACTGGTACAGGTTTTGTATTTCCACGTAATTGAAGTCCAACTGGTTTGATTTAATGATGTTGATATCTTGTACTCTGCAGTCCATTTATCTCTCCCAGATCCACTGCCCTGGGTTGCCACAGCACAAATAGCATACACTTCACCCAAGTCTATTTGTAAATAGTCATTAGGGTCGGTTGCTGTCCTTGGTCTCCATCCTCTGTCTGCTCCATTCAGACGAGCATTCATAGGAACATATCTATGGTCATAGTATGAAGATGCTGTAAATCTGTCATCTGGTATAATACTACTGTCTGCTATACCAACTGGACTGTCCTGACAACCTGCATTGATGTTTAACATCATAATGGAGGTTAGCAAACCGATTTATTTATTTTCAATTCAAAAACTTGTATGTAAACTTGAATATAAAGATGATAGACCAACGATGAATTTCAATTAGAAGAATTTCAAGGAATTCAACAGTCTTATCTCTTGATAGAAAAAAATCTAACTCGATGGTTATTTATTATATTACAATCTAAAATGTAATTAACTACGAAACTAAGGATCATGAATGTATTATACCTTTTAACGTGCTATTACCAGTTTGATATTTCAGTTGTCCGACCAACAATAATACTTTTTTTTTATTAGGTGTATAAGCTTACTATAAGCTTAATAAAACCACAATTAATTTATTAGCCTGTACCTCGGATTGTAGTTCTACAAACAACTAAGGCGCTGATTGGCTGCCCAACAATTTTTATATCAGAGGACAGAGTAGCTTGCGTAGCTGCCCTAATAATTCCAACATCATGATTATCGAGGGCCGCTACGAAGGCTAAGAAGCTCGTGCAAAATCGTGAACAAATATTTTGCAAATTAAAGCAATATAAAACGGTTACGTTTGTCTCTGTTATGTGATTTTGATACTCTGCTACACCTCGTGTTTCTCAACTCTATATAGCTCCAAGCGCGTTGATCAACTTATCACAGTGTAGGGACATGCGCGTGCGCTTTATACATTTTTAATTTACTTACGTTTTTTAATACCATAACATTCAACACGAAGCACCTTCCAATTGTTAAACGTCGTGGGTATAAACCTGATGTATCTGACCAGTACTGGATATTCTAGAATATTCTTGACGACAGTAGTTTTATCTGCATTACCACGAAACAGCTAGTAAAGTAGAATGGCAAAATATGATGAATTATTGACGACGACAGTATTACTATCTCTACTACCAGTAAACAACTAGAAGAAAAATAGCAACATCTAAAGACATTTTAACCTTATCTACGTTAACATCTGTGTTACCAGTTTTGTAAGTACTCCAATTGGCATTATTTACAGATATTGATATTTTGTATTCTGTAGTCCATTCATCTCTTCCAGCTCCATAGCCCTGTGTAGCCACAGCACAGATAACAAACACTTCACCCAAGTCGATCTGTAGATAGTCATTAGGGTCAAATTTTTTCTTTGGCGCCCATCCCATGCCACCATTCAGCCGTGCCCTCTTTGGAGTATATGTCGTGTCGTAATATGAAGACGCTGTAAATCTGACATCTGGTATAATACTACTGTCTGCTATACCTACAGGAGTGTCCTGACAACCTGTAGCGATGTGTAACATTATATTGATGTTAGCAACATATGTCATTATTCCAATTAAATCGAGTCAAGAGAATATGAATATGAATATGAATATTCTCTTGATCAAGTAAATGAATATCTCCCCTTTTTTTCGATTCCATTAAACCTTATAAATAAATGCATTGAGTAGGGTGTGTTGCACTTCTGGGGCATATTTTTTAACCGGTAAGCGGTATAGATAGCCTCCTTTGCAGCCGTTCTTAGGTTGCGTGACGACCCTAAGGACGGCTGCAAAGGAAGCTATGGGCTAGCCAGCTTTATCGAGATATCGGCTACCCCGCACACGCTGTAGTCGACAGAACGATTCAGCAGCACATTCGGCTTTTGCGCCTGATATCCCAATCAAAGCCAAAATCTCAAACTAAAATGCCTTATTTTTATGGAGAATTGTCATAGAGAACTGGAAATTTTTTCCATTTTGATGAACACTCGGCATTTTTTTCCGCGCATATAATAGGGACCTTAAGCTGCACTGGGACGGCAACGTGGGCCACAACGTCGGCGAAATTAAAGAGCGAGCTTCAACCTTCTACTGTATTATTATTTCGTGTTTACCTAGTATTTTACTCAATAAGCATCCCCGTTTTAGAGTGAAATGACGTCTTTTGGGAGTGCTTTACTTATAACGAAAATCAGCAAAGATAAGCTTTTGGCGTAGCCGTTCTCTTTAGTACGTAAAAATAGGACATTTCACGTCTTACTTTCAGCATAAGACGGCAATGATGCACAGTATTTCGTACATTCCGACGAGTATCTATTGAATAGCGCAATTAGTGCTATTGTATGGTTGCCGTCGTCGTCGTCGTTGCCGTCCTGCAGCTTAAGGTCCCCAATAACTTTGTCAAATCGCCACCGTCTCTCTCTTGGAAGGCATTTGATGAAGTAAGAACTCCAAGAGAGCTTGGGGCATTATTTTCCAGTTCCCTCACTTGAAAAAATAAATGTATTTTTAAGAATTTAACTTCGTCCTAGCGTACACGTAATTTGATGTCTTCTGCACAGAGTACCGATACTTTTTCAACGTCTGCGCATTTCATCCTTAATAACTGCTCGCTTTCTATACTATACTGATCCAAACCTTTACGTTATCAAACTAAAGCCTCTAAAATTTTGGCTCTAGTTTTTCCATCTCAATTCGGTCAAGCTCGACTCCGCTGCCAAGTTTAAGCGCTAATAACTTTCTAGCGAAATCCTCAACCGAAACAATTTTAACGCACAAAGCTTCAGCGGCACCAGACGGTTATTGCTTTTTATAGCGTGGCCTTCAAAGTTGGTGTAATTCGATCCCCCTCACATCAAGGGGAATCGAATGCAAGCGATTTTCAACTCTTAATAACTTTTCGCGTCCTACACTATCTTGATCAATACCTTTTGTTTATAAAACAACAGCTTCTAAAATGCTCGGAGCAGTTATTTCGTACATTTTCATTTATGGTGTGGCCCTAGTTTTTCCATCTCCATTCGGTCAAACTTACTCCGCTGACAAGTCCAAGCGTGGTTCACTCGGTACGAATACACGAAAATCGAAAACAACTCCAGTTCTCTATGGAAATTCCCCATAAAAATAAGGCATTTCAGTTTGAGATTTGGCTTTGATTGGGATATAAGGCGCAAAAGCTTCTGAATGTTCTGCCAACTTCAGCGTGGTATCTCGGCTCAGCCTCATTTTGCTTGTAAATATTCCTTTGCGTTTATTTGAGGTGACGGGCTGGCTCGCTTGCGAGATCTCGGTTGGATGGTAACAACATCTCAGCAAGCGGGAATGTAAAAACATCTCACATGGAGCTAGCCCGGTGAGGCGAACTGAATTTCTTTGTTTGTTCAAATGCAAACGAAGCTGGTGATCGCACGACTGATTTGATCTAGGTAAGCAAGCTGGATTTTCCAATTTATCAATATAATCGCAAGGCAAAATTCATCTTGGCAAATTAAAGCGGACCGGTCTGGCACTTCTCTATATAAACAGACCATAACAGAGTGGGCTTTAATAAAGCGATAAAGCATGCTGTATATTTATGCGATTCAGCCGCTTAAATTATGCTGAAACAACTGATTCGGACAAAGAAAAGCCTTTCATTAAATAAGCCTGAAGCGAGATGACGTTTTACCCCCGTCTCTAGACCATAATCCTTTTCACACTGCTTTTGTTCTTTAATTATGACTATTGTTCCTGTATTCTCTAAGGAATCAAAAAATTTAATATGAAAGAATTTTAAAAACTATTATGGTATAGAGTCGGTGGTAAAACGTCATCTCGCTTCAGGCTTATTAATAGCTACACTTCTTTCGTGTGTGTGCTGAATAACGACGACTTATTTTACTAGCCGCAATAGTCGATCTGACTGACAATATACACTGGCAAAACCGTTTTTTCTTCCGTCTGTACTCTAACGATGAAATAAATGTACGATTTCAAACCTACCGAACACATTGTGTACTAAGAAAATAAATACCAATTTATCAAGACATTTTTCCTTCATCGTGTACTGTAACAGCGAATTAATGTACAATGAAAAACTTACCGATGACATGGTGAACTAAGAAAGCGAATACGAATTTAAAAACCAGGTATGCTCTTGGTATTTGGACAGGATTGCAATGAAACTCCATGTTATTTTAGTGCGACTTATCGAGATATCTCGAATGTGAAGGAGTTTGACACGGAAGTCAATGTTGAGTATCAGCTTGCCTTTGAACTCATTACTGACGTCACGACTCGCGATACATTTAAAAGGACGCTTGATAGGATAACGAAAAAAAAAAATGCAGAATCAGTTCTAACTTTATTATTGCAAATATATATATATCCACACATTCCTATATAATTATCAGGGAAAGTTTTCTCTAAAGCTCTCATCAAATCGCGGTTTTGCTCTAGCGAACTTATCCGACACCACCTTGAATGTGCACACGGACGTTATTGTTGAATTTATCCAGTTGAATTTGCTTTTCGATATTGTTGATATTTTTAGTAGTATAGTGTTTAAAAATGGTATGCTACTTTGCTAAAAAAAAAGCAACAACATGTAATGTTTACAATATGAGCGGCCGTGTTGTATCGGCTAGAGCAGTTTTCGTATGACTGTGAAAAAATCACGGCACGAACACGGTCGTGACATGGCAAGGAACTTACTCTCTATTCAATCAAATACCTGGAACACGGCACAAACACGGTGCTGACATGGTCACGGCACAGTCACGGCACTGCTAGACCAAGCACCTGCATTACGAGAGGAAAAAATCAGCCAATTGAAATTCTAGAAAATATCATGGTCACTGCACGGCACGCTTAACGCGGCACTGAGCTTTTCGCAGTCATGAGAAAAACGCTCTATACAATCATTTGCCGAGGCGAGTTTTTGTAGGTAATATTTACAATATGAGTGGGCATGTTTATCGACTATACAATCACGAGTGGGATCTATATCTACCGATACAAAACGACAACTCATATTCCTAAACATTACATATACATCCACGAGTGGTTATGTCTAATTATCATTTTCATTGTAAGGTAAATTATACACCGTGAAAAGATGAAAAAACTTACTGACGTTTCGGACGCTAGTCCTTCGTCGGAGTAAAAGAGAAAGAAGTGGTAGAAAGGA